AAAAAGCTTTCTATCTTCCTAATTGGTATGCAATAAATAACAGTTTGAAACAATATATGCAATCTCATCAGCTGTACTTGTATAAGTAACTCTTACCTCACTCAAAGACATTCATATATAGAATATACAAACCTTGATTCTTATTTGTGATGGAAGAAATTTACACTGTTATTCTGATCTTCATCTATACATAATTTTCACCAATTAGGCCTAGACTTCCTCACCAAAATATCAATTTAAATCTGTTGATTTATGAGGTAGTCTCCCAAAACAGTCACTCACTGGATTTCCACGAATAGCTCTGCAGGCCTTTCGTCATATCTACAAAAGTTTCAGATATTTGGCTGCTCTGTTGAACTCCTCGTTCAACCAGTCTCTATTTTTCGAGCTTTCACCTAATAATGGTTTGGTTTCTTTCACAGGGTTCGCATCTATTACCCAATGAGTAGATCCTATTGATCACCGTCAAAATGGGTGAAGTACGATGGTCCGGTTATCTCACAATCATAATTCAGTTCGCCCGGCCTCGCGCATTTTTGCCTTCATGGGAGAAAAATTGACACTCATCATCATGATGTCGAAAGAACTTCCAATACATCGAAAGTTAGCAACAAGAGAGAGTATCATCATGGTTTAAGGATGAAAACAAGTGTACCATTCTTGGTCAATGAGCATAGCATCTGTTAATCCAAACTCCTTTAGCTCTTCTCTTGTATGGTGCATTAACAAACTATACCTGCAGCAAGTCAAGGATATCAAATGCTTTTCTTGTTGAACAAGAAAAGCATAATTCATTGATTACCTTCCACCATAGCCTCTTTCCATGACGACCATCTTACCATTGTCTATATTATGGAGCCCTTCGAATTGCTCCACAGTCCATTTATACCATCTCATCAGAAAGACACGCAACGTCAGCCCGTGAGAGACGATCACCAAGTTCATGTTCGGGCTTTGCTCACCGGGAGGCTGAAATCTTCCAATGTCAATATCACTTCTCAAAGTTTCTCTAAAACCTGAGATTTTTTCAAGTCCAACAACACATCATAAGAAAGATTCACACTTCGTAACGCCACTGATAAATACCATCACCACCTGTTATTCTATCATAAACATCGGCAGCCGATTCCCCGTTCGGAAACCTGTAAAAGAATCTTCCATAAAGCTTCCTAGCAGCTTTCTGGATCTTCATTTGTTCTTGGTCCTGGAAATTTCCTTCAAAACCCAGATCATTTTAACGACAATCGAGAACTTTTACGCCAAAATCTTGCATTTTGTTTTCTTAATTCACACAAAAACACATAATGTATCATCAATGGTATTCATGGTAAACCAGAGCTTAAATTCCAGACAACTAAAGTAAAGATTCAACTTTTAAGGACAAAATGACCTGCGAACATACCAAAATCTTGTTCCCTCAACCTGGGTTCCTCCCTAACGCCGGCAATCCTAGATCTATCAAACGCCTTGGCCAAATTCCTCAGAGTATCGAGCGACCTCTTGTAAGGCGACACGTAGAAGTACACTTTCCAATCCTCGGCGCCGTCCTTCTCG